GAGTCAGAACTAAACATGGAGAAGCAGCGTTCACTTATTATGCTCCAAATATCTGGAACAAACTCCCAGAAATCTGCAGGTCCGCTGCAACTCCTACTACTTTTAAATCCAGGCTGAAGACTTTTCTTTTTGTCGCTGCTTTTAATTGAAACTGAGCCGTTGTGTTAATCAGCAAAGTGGAACTTCTGTGTGAACTATTCATATCTTAAACTGCACTGTAACTTTTTATTCATGTATTTTTTCTTTTAATGTTTCTTTTATTATCTTTTCTTTTTAATGACTATTTTGAAATGCCTTCGTCTGAATGTCTTTAATTTTTGTAAAGCACCTTGAATTGCCTTGTGTTGAAAGGTGCTATATAAATAAACTTGCATTGCCTTGACTTGCCTTACACAACTTCCAAGGTAAAACGTGTAAAGGGACAGAATTCTTCAAAGTAGCAAAAGAGTGCGTGTTTGGTTAAGGTCTAATTATCGCTGAATCCAATTAGGAAGTGTTTTTCAAGCTGCTTGTCATCTTGATTAAGCAGTCACCACATGGAGTGTGCAGAAGGAACATTTTGTGCAGGCGGGAAACTACAAGGACAGACACTGATACGACATGTCAGTAAATAACTAAATGGATAAAATCAAGTTCACTGCACAAATGTTACAGATATTGACATGTATTCCTAACAGTTTTCTTTGCCGGTCTGAATTGGGAGCTAATTTAGAATCTAATTGCTTGCAAGAAAGAAAACAGAAAATACAGAAATACTACAGCACTGGGAAACAACTCTACATTACACAAGTATGACTCTCTGCATTTGCATATAGCAGTTTTTGGATTCCTCCTGTTTTGTAAGAACAAATAAATGTTATCTTCAATTTGCTGTTTCACACCCGAGGGTGTTACGTTGTACAATAGATTGTTTCTTTCTGGCCTGAAAAGGGATATAAAGATCCTCCAGCACAATAGGTTCTGACATAGCTTTCCAAAATCTATTTCTATGACATCCTTTAAGCCCGCTTCTACGACTGCCAAAAACTCTACTCTTGGCAGGAACTCATGCAACCTTGAAGTTGAAAACTCAAACAACACCTGGTATGTTATACTTCATTATTCCCTGTGAGGAAACTTGTCCTCTGTATTCGACCCATTAGGCAATAGTCGGCAGCTGTGTTTCAGCCCAGAGGAACTGAGTCAAGGTCTAAGGCCAGTACATTAGTCAAGGGTAATGCTAGGTTCATTCCCAATATATTACATGTAAGTACTCTGGGTGGGAGGAAAGCGCCAAGGCCTCCCAGCTAAGGTTTGAAGCCAGGAGCTTCTTGCCACTGCTGAGCCACCATACCATGTTTTGGCCTGTTGCCTTGATCAAATAGAATTCCTGTGCCGTCATTGGTCGTCTTAAAGACTGCCTCCCTTCCCCACTCACCTTGCAAGTGAGTGAAGTTGTGCCAGTACCCTAACTTAAAAGCAAGAAACAAAAACACCAACTCCTGCCTCGGTACATTTCACCAAATTGTGCCACGCCTTTCCTTTAATAAATCAAAAGGCATCATTTAGAGTGTTTTATATATAAATGGTCAACTCGTTTCACTGCTTTCTCTCAGAGCAGTTTGATGAATGGGGCCACTGACAATAAACTACTAACTGAGAGAAAGCTATTTGTACAACAGCAGGCATTTAAGTCTTCCACTCTTGTGCATTTGAGTCTACAAATTATGCAAAGTGATGGCATTTGAGCTCCCTGGCTGCATTAGAGGGAACGAGAAACAAATAAACGGAATGGATTCACGACACCCCTGCTGTAATATAAAGGTCAAGCCTGTATTGTAAAAACTATTTTTTAAACTACTGGTACATAGACTGTATATGGTGGCTACGGCAAAATACAAAAATAAAATGCGTTTTTATAGTGAATGGGGATCCCAATAAGACAGCAGTAAAAGTTGATGTTTGTCCCTGATAAAACTGCTAATGCTATCCGTCTCATCAGACATGGAAGTGTGTGTCTAATCTCGTAACCTGGGGGCAGAACTTGAAGCCTAACGGCTGCACCCGTCCTCAACTCGGGCCAGGCCAGAGCAATTACTACTGCAGCTTCAAACACAGACCTGTGTCACCAACGCAATTAACAAGCTCTGGAGGAGCCTGGGCAACCAGAAAGCGACAGACAGTGTACATAGCATGAATGATGAGAGGCGAGAAAGGACAGGGAGTGAAGAAGAGATGGATGGGTGAAACACTAGTGGATCAAGTCAGGTTGCCAGGTTTTTGTGAGCCGTTAGTGCAGAGAGACGTCAAACTCTGCAAACACAGAGGATGTAAAAGCAACATTATGATTTTTAGATGTCATACACATGCAGATATATTGTGTCAACCAAGAGATGACATACCCGTGTAGCTCTGGGCAGAGATTTTGAGTGAGCCTGCAAATGCTAAATTCTGCCTCCCACTTCTCCACATTGATCATTGTTGTGAGGATGATTCATCACAGCTGTGACACAGAGGGTATAATGTGTTACAGCTACCAGAAGAAACAGCCGTAGGTGTTATCTAGGCAGGATGTTCATTTTATTCAGAGGCACGTCCCATTATCAGTTAGAGGAAACCAAGCATCCCGGCTCCTTTCCACTGCATCCCGCCATCATGATCCCATCTTTATCACCTTGCCTCCCCATTGCAAGATTAATTTCTAAACTCCAATCCTCATTTTATATCTAAACCCCTAGTATTAGCCTGCTCATCTGCTGCTCTTTTCATCACGATATCCTCTCAGTCTCCTTCCCCTTCCTCCTCTAAAATTCCTTTACTTGTCCGAGTAGGATGCTCCGACAGGAAAAGATTGCGCAAAGGTTAGAGAGAGTAGCCCTGAGGTGTCTTTGCCGACTCCGGGATGTGAGAGTGATGGGAGCTGTCGAGGGGAGATGGATTCCCCGGCCATCTCGTCTCCACCCAGTCATTGTTCATAGGCTGGGGCTGCCAGACAGCTGTCTGTACCTGCTAACGTCTGACAGATGCATGCTGTCAGTCAGTCAGTCTGCAATGGTCCACAATCTGCATCTCACCTTCTCCCCATATGCATCTGTAGTGAGCCAAATATCGATGACTGAGAAGAGATTGATTTGTTCCTAGTTTGTGTTTCTCAACCTTTGGTGGAAGACATTAAAGGAAGCATGCTGGAAGTGCTAATACGATTTGGGACTGTAAACACACTACACAAAACCATAGAGACCACATTACAGCGTCAATAAATAATGTGATATGGGCAAAAATGCTAATGGCTGCTCAACAGCTACTACTTTGCATCCAAAATCCATAGTTAATACAATGGAAACCCTCATAGGGAATCAACATTTTTAAACTCCAAGATCTTTTACAACAGCATAAGTCATATCATGTATTGTGAACGTATTGTAATAGTCATGTCTGGTTTCAATGAGACTCCGAACCCAAAGCAAACAGGACATATTTATAAATCCAGGGTAGATGACCTCGACTGATTTGTTTTTTTGTGCACTTGTGAATAGGCCAAGGGGAAAGATGAATACAAAAAGTACATTTACTGTGAGAAAAGCAATACATTCCCTTGAATGGTACAAGGGGTTTTGAGTCTCTGCAAATAAACTGTTAAGAGAGACATTTCCTACTGCTCTCCCAGCTCTTGCATGCTAATACAGAGAATCATTAGTTCATGGTGGGTTGGTGGGTGGTGGAGCTGCTCCATCACTGATGCAACCGACACCGACTGTCTTTTAAATGATGGCAGAGAGAAATAGGCTCCATTATAGGCGACAATCAAAGCCGCACATCCACTAGCAAGCGCGTCACGTAGCTAATTCAATCTCACAAGCCATGAAGCAATTAATTAATGTCGATACAAATGCACAAATAGTTTTTGTTAGCCCATCAGGAAAGTGCCGGTCTCACGGCTGTGCTTTGTGTTTATTTATGCCTCCGTGTGAACATGTTCAGTGAAGTGAACCTGGAAGAGCAGGTGTAATTGGGCGTGGAAAAAAGGGAACCTTGTGTTCTCCCTGGCTAAATTAGATCAGACAATCGTCTCTTCTCCATTTCCTCGAGCAGACAACAGGCACATTGTCCCCCTTAGGTGTGTTATTATTTCTGTGATCAGGTCGGACTACACTGCAGAAGCGACACAGATGACGGGATAATGATAGTTCTCCATGACTAGCCTCCGTTTAAAAACACGGGGTAGAGTTTCTGGCTACGCTTCATCCCATCTAATTTAATCAATTAAGCTGAAGAAACATTATTAAAAAAAAAATGCCTCTAAAAAGGGTTTGAGTGTGTGGTCAGATTCAGCCTCAGCTTAGTGAATGCTGAGGATCAATGCCTCATGTGGTAAATAATCAAGCCCCATTATTTCTGCAAAGGGAAACTCATGAGAGAATGCGAACCCAGATGTGTTACCACTCTTAATGTCCACTGCGGCTAAATGAGTCAATATCTCAATGTGGAGGGATCAGACCTATGGATCAGACATGCTGAGAAAGCATTACTGGCTTGATAAAGCAGCTCTGGTAGGAAGCAGGTGTGAGCAACATCATGGAGTGAGTCTGGGGAGGTGAAGGAAGTTAACTGAGTGAGAGAAATGAGCAGCGGAGAGACAAAGGCTTTGTGATGCAGGCTGTGGGTTGATGGAAGTGGGTTCTGGCTTGTCTCTAGGAATGAAACCGGTCTGCATTTAAATTCATCTGTGGAGAAGCTGCTCCATCACCTCCTTTTGTTTCCAAAGCTAATGTTCCCAGTCCTTTCTGGGTGGGTTGCTGCTTTGCATTTTGATGAAGGAAGACTAGATATCATCCCCTTCCTGAATCCCTTCTTTACAGCCGTTCATCTCTCTCTCTGTCTCCATCCATCGTCTGCTGCCTGCAAGCTTGTTTTTTTTATTAATATTAGTGTCCTGGATGACTGATGGTGTTTTGCAAGAGACAAATAATGCATAAATTGTTTCCTAAACTGAAAATATGAATGTCATCCTCCACATCCAATCCAAGAAACAGACTGTTTATTTATAGATTGAAGACAATAATAGACACATCAAAACAAGTGGAAACATCAAACAGTCAGATTTATGTTGGTAGTTATAAAGTTGGCGCTGCGGGAGTTATTTCAATATGCTGTTGACAAACCAACTTATCACTTCCGGTGGGTAAACAACTCTCAGTGCATCTTTGCACAGTGAAGTCATGATGTCCCATATATTAAGGGTGACACCGCTTTCCATTTTGTATTTAAGGCAACAAAATCAATCACATTCAAAACAAACTGCTGACACAGATAGACTTGCGGCGGTACATCATGAATGAGAACCATGGCTGAGCGGGTCAAGGTGGAAAGTGCGTACACTCGCGTGGATTGCTATCTGTCATGTGCTGCAGATTGGCCAAGAGTAATGAGCCTTTACATTACAGTGTAAAGAAAGCTGATACTGCGCGAGTGCTATTTTGCAAAGTCAAATTACAGTTCGATTTTCACCTAACAAAGACTCGGCAACATTCACCAATCAATACGTGTCAAAATGTCCCCCCGCTTTCTTTAATAGATCTGACAAACGCAAGGAAGTGTGCGCAAATCTACAAGCATAAAGAGTCAGCGGGTAGGGCAGAGGGTTAAGGGAGAGGAGGGGGGGGGAACAGCATGATGGAAAGTGCAAGAGACATCATTGTGGAACGAAAGCTTAAGACACTTTTTTTTTTAGTACAATAAAAAATATGACACCCAGAACAGCTTTGTAATATATTCTCTCGAAGGTGTAAGGCATATCGGCATACAAAAGTTCAATTTTCTTTGTCTGGGAGTGTCCAGAGTGTTTGTCGAAACAAATCATATTGTACATAAATGAAGTGCGAAGCGCACAGCGTCACAGAATTTCCCGTTTGTGACATCTGTTGGGCTTAACAGATGCCTCGCTCGGCTGCCTAGCCAGGCTCCTGTCTGAGTCAGCCAGGCTCACCAGTAAGCCAAGGATCTGACTGGCGGTGGAAATTGAGCTTGATGCTAATTGATTGCACATAACTTGTGTGCTTTAATTTAAGAAAGTTAGTAACGAGTATGGTATTACAAAAGTTGGAGAGCAGAAAAATACATGGCCATCCATATTTGTCACAGCAGCCCTCTTCAAGGTCAGCTCACTGCACGCAGGCACCATTTCATTTAATTTCAAACCTTTATTTATCCAGGTGTATCCCATTGAGATCATTGATCTCTTTTTCAAGGGAGACCTGCCATGAGGGGAGAGGGGAGAGGTGAGAGGGGTAAAAGGGAGATGGCTGACAGAGAGTGGGGGGGTTTAGAGGGGCCAGCCTGACAGCTCAAAGGGGCCGATGGCTGGCAGTAGCAGAGACTGAAGGACAGGTGGATGGTAGGAGTCAGGTCTGCTGGTATCAGGGCGCGTGGTCCATGGATGGTCCAGAATCATTGTCATCAAAGTCCCGGGGGTCCATGGGGTGTGCCCTTGGCTCTGGAAACCTGGAAAAAGACAGCAAAAACAGAACAGAAACAAATTAGATGACTGTAAACTGGTATACACACTTTCTGCGTCCTTGAAGGTCACCTATTATGCAAAATCCAGTTTTTCATGTCTTTTAAAACATACTTTTTAGTTTTGGAGGGAGCTTATATAAAGGGTTTAGGAGATTACGTTAATTACTAACAGGAATATTATTTGTTTGAAATGAATAGAAAGACAGCCAATTAGCGTTGAACTTCTCCCAAACAACGTAATGTTGAGTGTGGCCTGTTTAATGCAAATGCATGGATGATTCAAACCCTCAGTTCTAGTAGAAAGTCCGAGTGAAACCATGTGCAGAGCGCGCGTATGTACAAGCTTTACGTCCTTGAACTTCTTTCTTCTCCTTACCACAAACATAGAAATACCACCCACACACACCCTCCCTCCATGTGCACATATTATGGAAATATAACAAACCTTTGTGAAATGTAATCAGCTTCAATCAAGCTACGCCTTAAGTAGAAATCATCCATTCTGTCGGTTTTATATTAGCAGCACTGCGGTGACAGAGACAAAGTGATAGCTAAATTGCAGGGACCTGTAGCGATCGGAGCCTGGCTGAAAGATTCAATTTCACAGTCTACACTAATCATATGCTCTAATTGGACAGAGTCGTCAGGGTGATAGAGCACTGTTCCCAGACGCAAAACTCTGGAACTTCTCTCATTCCTCGCCTACATTCTTCTTATTATGATTTCCCCCATATGTCTATCTATTTTCAAAAGGGTCAGCAAGTTTTCCTGTACAAATACTCTTTAATTTAATGAGATTCAATGTACTTTATCTAACCAATCCTTTCTGAAACAATCATTTCTTATGACCTTGCCCAGCTCAGTTGGCATTTATATTTGTGAATTTATTTGTCATCTATCTCAGAAAAAATCAACACAAATTACTCCAATCTTGATTTCCTGACCCTCTCCAGATGTTTACTCCAATGGCAGGAAGACTGATTGTGCATTTTCTTGGTTTATGATCGATAACTTCCAACTTCTATGTCAAAACTGATAACATTGATTCAGAAATGAAGCTGTAATGGGATGCAGAAAACAGATTACCTGCGTGAACCCACAAGGTCATATATTCAGTTTAGCAGCTGCATGTGTATGTACCCGCCACAACGCAGTCTCTCTAGTTATTACATTTAGATAGAGAGTGACAACCAATAAAGCAAAAGGTAATTGGTATGACAAGCGAAATGATCTCTCACACAAATGCTTACACAACACAGTAAGTGAAATAAATGAATCCTTCTTCAGAACAAGCATTGTGAGCATGAACAAAAAAACATCACACACAGACGTTACTGTAGCGAGGGGGGGGGGAAGAGGAGACAGCAAGTAAGGGCAGAACAGTTAGTCGTACAGAATACTCAATCTATTTATGTGGGATATTTTAATGTTTTGTTTCAGTTTTAATGTGCAGAGTCCAGAGGGAACAGAAACATTTTCACCTGCATTCATGTTCATGGCCTAACAGGGGCCACTCCACTGATTGCAAAAATATGCCATATTCTATAGAGGTCTATGAAAAAATGACTTTTCACTTCATTAAATATCTCATTACTGAACATTTTGCTAATCATTTTATGGTCTCAATTGCTTGTAGAAAGTTGTGATTTCCATTTAGTAGATGGTCTAATTAAATATATGAAAAAGAAACATTGCTTTAGGGCGGGCTACCTTGTGATTGACAGGTCATCACCACCTTATTGTCACCTTTTTCGTAATTCAAATGTAACCGTTTCAGTGTGTTTCAGTTCATTAAAGTTAGTTGTTAGATTTCAGTCACAAATCCTTCTTATTCAGCGTACGTATCTTGATAAGTTCCAAACTTGAGGCTTCAACTTGGTGATCCGCGAACCACTGTGTGACATCTACTTCTTTTATACAGTCTTAAGTTCCGAGCTAGTGATGGAAAAAAAACCTAGTCACCATTGTTAGTTTATGATGTTTCTGTACAGATAAATATAAAGAGGGTAATGCACAGGTGTAATATGTGAAGCCTTTAAGGCAAATCAAATGAGATAGGACTGCATGCTAAATATGGAGCAGCTAACACACTACGTTTATATGTATACAAATTAAATAAAAGTTGAACGTTGTAAGCGACAGAGATGCATTGAATTACTCATGAGTTTTCAGTGCTGATAAACTAAACCTCATCTAACCATGCATATTTGAATCTGCTTCACCGCAGCAAGTTTTGCTGAACAACCATTATACTTACTATCTCTTGCGTAGTGCAATATCTCAATTAAGAGTGAAACACTGTGCTGTTCCGCCTCCGTACTCCTGCCCATACTGTATGCAGTGGGTAATAGGCTGAAATGTATTTTTCTCAGCACTGCTCTCAGAGTATTTCTGTCTGACACACTTCTGTTGTCAGAAACAAAGGGCTGCTTCCTTTCCCTTCCTGCATTTCCTCCAGGAGCACAGACACAAACTCACAACAGGGCATCTCATCAAAGAGCAGCCCCACATGTGAGCACGCATGCAAACACACACGTGAACACCTATAGGCGGAGTGAATTGTCGGTGTTTCAAAATAAAAATAAAAATAAACTTAGAAATTCCGTTGTTGAATTTATAATCATGTTGTGGGTTCAACAAGGCAACACACACACACACACACACACACACACACACACACACACACACACACACACACACACACACACACACACACACACACACACACACACACACACACACTAGAGATGTGTATGCCAAAAATGTGCATACACACATGCCAGCTTGGCTGCTGTAAAGTTATACCATCTCGCTTAAGTATACATCCGAGACATTAAATATTCAGAAGGGCTGTTCCCATTCGAAATATTGGCAACGTTTCTGTACCACACCAATTCTACTCAGTATTTAAATTGTCTAGAGCATCACACAGGCTGTTCCTTCTTTATAGTCAGCACAAAACATAAAAAGGCGGCATTGAGTTAAGCCCCCCGCTCACACACAGCCCCCTCCTTTCTGACATGGTGTTTGGGGTAAAAACTGTTGGCAGACTTATTTGTGTGAGGCAATTTCATCTTGCATCTCCACTCAACCAAAACAACCACCCCCTGCTCTTCTTAAAAAAAAAAAAGTAATTACAAATATATTTATATGGCACAAAGTGAGGCTTCCACTTTGGAGGCAAATGAACTATTTATATTCAAACGGTCCTTGCTAAGCCTTAGGACACACACGGATGTAATAACTTATTTATTCCGCCTGCAGGAAAAAGGCCATTACTTGAGAGAGTGAAAGAGAATGGTTGTTGGAGAGGAAAGACAGAGAGAAGCTTCAACATGCAACACCATTTCAGTGGTTCTGTGATGAATTCCCTTGCTTTCTTCTCTTTTTTCTGTCTGTTAATTTCCCCCTGGCCTAAGTTAAAGATCACTTTGTTGTGTGTGAGTGTGTGTGTGCCCTGACGATTGGGTTCTTTCCGTCCATTACTTATTCATACGCTTTAATGCAGTCGATTAATTATTGATCAGGGCCGATCATTGCCTCCTACCCTTGGCGTGACCATATCCTGCGGACAGAGGGCCAGGAGCCGGCTGCAGAGCTCTCTGTCTGAGCTCCACTCTCAGTGCTGAGTGGGTGATGGATGGACAACAGGCGTGGTGTGTGGACATTTGGAACACTGTGTGTGTCTGTATGAGCGATATAAGATTTTTTTTTAAATAGGAATGATAGACTAGAACAAAGATAATCTTGCTAATGTCCCCTCTCTGAATCCAACAAGTGTTGCCAATAGCTCCAAATTGAACCCATCGCTCATGGGAGAAAACCTCAGGCGCACCACGAAAAAAAACTAAACACAGAAGGAGGGAGCGTGCGGGACGTTCCCTAGACTTTGACTTTTGTCTCTCCCATTCTGTTCGGTTTTGGCCTCACCCGTGTGCAGCTCTCAGGGAGATGGAGGAGGAAGGGAGGGGTCTTTGCCCTGATTAAGTTTGAATTCCCTGCTCTTGGCAGAGAAGCTGCAGGACTCCTAAGTCATCATCCGGAAACACTCCCATCACGCTGTGGCAGCATGGCCAGCTCCATCCAGTCTCATTGCCATATGAATAATCATACTGCAGTAGCTTTGGACATGCTGAAGGGGTTTGAGGTGTGTGTACAAAGATGGAGGGATGGAAGAAAAAGGAGGAGCTGAAAAACAAACTGGGGGTTGCTGATAGGAAAGCAAGGTTCTTCTTGATTAAGCAAAGAGGCTGAGTGAGGCGGTGTACATAGTGCTGGTGGCAATCATTCTCAGGGGAAAGTAACTATTGCGATTTGCATTTCCAAACAGAGGTGATGCCATCGAAGCGTACTCCATCACATCAGAGGGCAGGGCACATTTCTCAAGACCTGGAGGCCTATGAGGTTGGGTGTAATGAGAGAGGGTCCCTAATGGTTATTGATAGAGCCAAGGAGGACAGACTCTTACCCTTACTCTGTAGTGAAGCAGTGCACTTTGCCTCGACTTAATGAAGTAAATCTTCTGCAGGATAATTTAACACCACAAACAAGCTTTGTGACAAGAAATGTCTGAGATGTGGAAAAAAAGATCAAATACATGAATGAAAGGGGGAAGTAAGGATAGTGGTGCAATAATGACTTGATAAAGAGGTGAGGAAAGAAAAACAGATGTTGATGTACCAAATAATACAACGCTTTGAGGCTCCATTCAGAGTGATGCAATTCAATATCTACACAACATTCATATGCTGTGAAGCTTCTGTTTGCAGTTGAAATAATTCAGTTTAAACCTGGTAGTTCTGCACAACTAAGATAATATTATTAGTATTCTATTATTGTCTTTGTAGAATCAGATTACAATAGTTGCTATATGATTGCGCCTTCATGTACAATATCAAATCTGAAGCCCAAAATGCTCCTTTTATTTAAAAGATCAATAAATAAATTCCAATAGAACAAATATTGTAATACAATCCGCATTTGTT